GTGTGACATTTTTTCCTGTTCTGCCTTGACTGCAGAACAGTAAACCCCTTTTGTTTGCCTAATTTCTGTAGGTCTCTGGGCACAGTGGTTGCATGGCCTTCACAGATTGAGAATGGAAGAGGACAGCCAGTTCCTCCAGTGGGTTAACTTAAAATACAAAAAAAGTGGGTTCCAGTCGTTCTGTTGGTCAGCCAGCAAAACAAATGCTGCAGGTATCTCTTCTTCCCTCAGTGATGGCATGAATGGAGTCTCTTCACTATATCCTTTGTCAGTATTTGTAAACAGAGACCTCTTTTCCTCAGTCAGATCTTGTTAGGTTGACCAAGAGATCAGAGATTGTAGTTAGGAACTGAGGAACAGAAAGCTGATGCAGTTGTATAGCCTCGGTTCCTTAGGAAACCAAGCAGAGGTGGAGTAAGAATGATGATGGCAGGGACTTTTTAAGTTCACCATATCACAGTGGCCCTTGCTTTCCAGCTCAGGGGAGAAACACAGACTGTCTCAACTTTGTTAAGACTTTTAGCTAAAGAAGATGGGATGGTTTGCCTTTTAAAAGCAAGATTGGAATGAGAGGATTAAAAGGAAGGATCCTGAGAAGTCAGGAAGACTGTGGTTGGCATTACTATAGTTAACTGTAGGAACATAAGATTGCAAGAGGAAGAAAATAGGAGCTGTTTTGACAAGAAGTCAGAAGTCTTGGTTACATCCAGACACCGGAGTGGTGCTCTGGCATTCCTGTGTAAATGAAAACCAAGAAAATGAAAACCAGAAGGGAATGGCAGAAAGAAAATGAAAAGCACCAGGATTTTTTTTTTTTTGGAACGTACAGCTTGCATGGGTGTCAGCATCCATGGAGTAGGACTGTATTGCAGAACAGGCAAATCATTCCTTCTCCCTGCCCTGTCTTGCCCTTCACACACACACAAGCTTTGTCCTGGATTAGAAGAGCTGTGGGAAGATAGCGCTGCTTGGAGCAGGGATTTGTGCTGCTGGGGAGGAGCCATCCAGCCATGGGAGTCTTGTACCTGCTGCCTTTTGTGAGCTGAGGGCTGTGGAGACTGTTCAGCAGGCAGAGCACGTGGCTGACTGCGCACATGGCTGGCAAAGGTCACCTGAATTATACACTGGGTTGGCTCCTGCAGCTTGGCGACATTTTCAGATGGGTTTCTGAGCAGTCACTCAGGCAACGTCTAAGCAAATCTATGTACACTCTCTGCCTCAGTCCTTCAAACACAGAGGAAGGGGAAAATCCTCATCTCTGATACGTACAGAAGATGACGGGCTTTACTGTCTTTCTCCACCCAGCTTTCCAATCGAAGAAGGGAGATTTTTCCCTTCTGACAACCTTGTACTGTCCATAGTCAGCAAAGACAACTTCAGAGCAGTGGGTTTTCAGTTCTGGATCTGAATAAGCATCAGATGTGGACAGCTGTGTAGAGAAATGGAGCCTTCTTGACAGCAGGTTCATTTCTCTGCAGCCATTTCCATGCATTAAGTGGAGGTACCTCTGAACTTTGGGGTGGGAGGCAGGTAGTAGCCTACCCTTACTTCTAGTGTGGCACTCGACCCTCATCACCTATTTTACCAGCAGGTCCTCATGTCTATTTTTGTATTGGGTGGCCTAAAAAAATAAGGCATATGCTTCAATAAAAGCCACAACAACAGTGTTTATGTTACCCTCAGTCAGTTTGAAGTCGCACTGTAGCGAGAAGAGGTGGCATGGATTGATTCACATGTAGAGAGCTGAGAAGAACAAGGATTTGAGCTCATCTGAGGCTCAGAGTTATGGTCATACAGTTAGTAATATTACATAAATAGTAACAATAATAGCAGCTATGGAAAAGTTTAGAGCTTCAGAGCCTCTTACAGGCAAAATAAGTAGTGATCTTGTTTGAGGCTTTCTTCTGGCTTGGCGACATACTGCTCTTTGGAGGGCAAACTGTGTTTGTATGTTTGCATTCTTCTGTAGTGTGGAAGTTTATAAACTTCCATTTGAAATAAGAGGAAGGTTAAAATCTTGGCATATTCTTATTTTGGTAATAGGGTTGCATGCAGACATCCTTGTAGTTAAATTAAAAAAACTCCAAACTACTAAAGCCCCATTAGATTTGCTGTGAAGGGGTGGCTGATTGCAAATGGAATGATTAATGGCTGAGATTAGAGATGCACATACAACTGCTCATAAACTCCTAATGTGACTCATTGAAAATCTCTGGGTTTTTCTTCCTGTTGAATTGAACTTGGTGTTGTCATTAGAGGATAGCATCAATTTGGAAAGTTCAATTTTTATTCTAACTCCTTTTTTGATTTCTTGGGTCTCCCCCCATCTCAAGTCTTTCAGGTGCAAATTCCCCTTTTCAGAATTCATTGAAAGAAAACATTTTTATTTTATAATTAAAAGGCTCTTGTTATATGGCAACCTTTAGATTGTTTAGAATAGCCAATATCAAATACTGAAAGCCTTTAAAGTGTCTGATTTTTCTCTGCTGGGCAGAGAAGAGATTCAGAGAAGCCTTGTGGAGAAGGACTTGGGGGCGATGGTTGATGAGAAACTGAACAGAAACTGGGTTCAGTGTGCGCTCGCAGCCCAGAAAGCAACCGTATCCTGGGCTGCATCAAAAGGAGTGTGACCAGCAGGGCGAAGGAGGTGATCCTGCCCCTCTACTCTGCTCTTGTGAGACCTCACCTGGAGTATTGTGTGCAGTTCTGGTGTCCTCAACATAAAAAGGACATGGAGCTGTTGGAACAAGTCCAGACACTGGAGCACCTCCTGTATGAAGACAGGCTGAGAAAGTTGGGGCTGTTCAGCCTGGAGAAAAGAAGCTGCGTGGAGACCTCAGAGCACTTCCAGTATCTGAAGGGGGCTACAAGGATGCTGGGGAGAGACTCTTTGTCAGGGCCTGTAGTGATAGGACAAGGAGTGATGGGTTCAAACTGAAACAGGGAATGTTCAGGTTAGATCTAAAGAAGCTCTTTACTGTGAGGGTGCTGAGGCACTGGAATGGGTTGCCCAGGGAAGTTGTGAATGCCCCATCCCTGACAGTGTTCAGGGCCAGGTTAGACGGAGTCCTGGGTGACATGGTGTGAGGTGTTCCTGCCCATGGCAGGGGGGGTTGGAACTAGATGATCTTAAGGTCCTTTCCAACCCTGATTATTCTATATTTCTGTGATGTTCCCCAAGTGGAACAGCTGTTCTGTACCCTTGTGCATGTGACAAATGAGGACACAGAGCTAAGGAGGAAACCCACCTGGGAATCCACTTACTTCACTGGACTTCATTCTCTTACTGGTGTAATCAAGTTATTTAGGCAGACTTTAAGCAATATGGATTAGAATGCTTTAGAGCTTCATCAGGAATGCATTGCTTTAAATATGCTGATTTACAAAGATAGTTTAATTATTTCCCCCCTGCCTTCCCCCACCCCCTGCACTGGTTTTGGTCTTCTCTTGGTCATCCTCTAGTGTCTGGCTTTCACAAGAATGCAGAATTCAGGATTTTTCTTGCAACCCATGAAGTCTGCAAACTCTGCCTGGAAAATGAGCTGGCTCCTGAGCTTCCTGCCTGGCTGCTCTTTAACCAGAGTCTAAGTGGAAAAATGTGAACCTTTTGTTGTGGGACCTGTGAAAACAGCGTGAACAATTTAAAGGTTCCTGCTACTTGTTAAAACCAACATTAAAAAACGTTTCTTTTCTCCTGCTGCTTCCTCTCACTGTTTTCCAGTGCTTGTGCTTGCTAGGTCTTTTCATTTAACCTTTTTTTCTTTTAAGCTCCTCTTTCCTCCTTGGTCCTATTTACCTTTGTTGATGCCTTCTTATAAGGCATTGGAAGGAAGGAGAACTATGTGTGTATGTGTGTGCCAGGAGGGGAGTGTGTCAAATGTACTTTTTTAACTGTCAGCATTCTCTGTCCCAGCTGCATTGTTTTCCTCAAGCTCCATCTGCAGCCAGGCCATTAAACTTGTTTTTCACTGCTGCTCGCTGCCATTTATAGTTTATTTTCTGCTTGTATCAAATCAAAAGCTGTATCTCTAAGTCTGTATAGTTTTGCACCTGCAATATTTGCCTTTTAGGTAACTGAAACTTCCAACTTAACTACCTGCTATCGTGTCAGTAAAGGTGTGAGCAAGGAGAAGAGTTAGGTTATTTAAATGCAATTATAAGCTCACTGTTAAAAATCCTAGAAGGATGTTTTAGCCATAGAATTTGGCTCCTGTTTAGTTCAGAAGTTTGTTCCCGAATTACTTGTGTGAATTAGTTGTGACCATAGAGGATCTCTGCTATCAGCTGAACATCACCCCCATAATATTTCTCCTCATGAGCATATGTTCTTGGTATGCGTCAGTAGGTTCATCTGGGTGTTAAACTGTTCAGTTTACCTGATAATGGAAAATACAGCTTCTCCGTAACTGGAACTTCAAATGTCATTTTTGGAGGGGGGTTTTCATTGGTTGGTGTTGAGGTTTGGTTTCATTTCAGTGTTCTGTTTGTGTGGGTTTGCTGGGGTTTGACTGTTTGAGATTTTTTTTTTTTGTAATAATATTTTATTTTACCTTCATGGTAATGTGCTTTCTCCTTTGTGGGTGACTTTTATTCCCCCTCCCTCCCCCCGTCAGCCCCGGTAACATTGTAGTGTTTGAGAGCAAATTGTAGTGACATCCAACATTTTGTTGTGTTTGTAATGCAGGCTGAGGTCAAACAAACAAAGCAATCATTATGTTTTAGCATTCTTTTTTTAATGAGTACATTAAATCTACTCACAGCTACAGGATCAGCTGTGGAGAGAAGGAAGAAACATGAAACTTGAAGTAGCACTGTCTTTTTGAAGCAATTTATGGACAAATAGTAGACTAAAGGGATATGTAAGGACTCTGGTAGGAAAAAATGGCACCGTGTTGTTGTCAGAAAGGGTTTTGGCAGAAGACTTGTTGTGACTGTTTCTGTGGCTTAGAGGAATTTCCTACAGACTGGACTAACCATAAAAAAAATGTCTCTACTTTTAGGAGTTCAAGACATATGGTGGAGTCTTCCTGGTGAAGATGTCATCTCTAAGAATGAAAGCCCATTGTCTGGACAAAAGAGGAAGTTTCTTTAAGGTAAATGGGATATTTATGCAGAGCATAAAATGCATAGGTTTGTGTGTAATCTGAACATGCATAAAATACTATCTTTGTATTCTCAATGCCAGTTTCGGTCCATTTTGTGTTTTGGTGGTTTTGGTTTGTCTGTAGGTTTTAGTTCCTTGGCTTTTTTAAAGTCTAACTGTATCTTGGTTAAAACCAACAAGAAGCTGGTGCTTAACTGTAGTCAAACACTCAAAAACCCAGCAAGGCAGATGTCTGTGTCTTTGGGTGTCTACATACTTTAAAGGGCTCTCATGATTCTTCCCCTAAGGTACCAGCCCAGTTTCTTGGATGATACAGGCACTGAAATATAGTAGTTCTGTTCTGGCATGGATGTACTCATAGAGAAAAAACAGAAATAATTCCATGTAGTGTTTCTGTGTTCTGGGGCAGTTTTGAGATGTCATGTAGCTTACAGCACACTTAACGCAGCACATTTCAGTGAGAAATATATTTCAGGTGTGAGCCTTCTGTTTTCCCCCAGCTCCTTTCCATCATGGAGTACAGCTGATGCATGGCAATATACTGAAGGGTCTGGGAAGGCAGGATGCAACATGTGCTTTCCTGGGAAAACTTATGCCCCTGAGAAACACCCAGGGAGTACAGGCAGAGGCCTCTCCGGGCTTGAGGTGGTGCTCAGAGGTGTAGGGAGATAGAACCCTTAGTTGAAGCACCTTCAGGTACTCCCTGGAACTCTTTAGAAATGCATTTTTCCCTGGTCATGAACATTCAATTTTAGTCCTGCTAACCTCATCACAGCTGGAAGGTGGAACCTTGAGAACCTCATCAGAAAGTACATAGTTCAGATGACTGCCTGCAGTCATTGGGTTTTGTGTGTCTTCTGTGGCCATTCTCGCTTCTGCATAGTTATAAATCACTTCCATCTCTGGGAACTTCTGTCAAGGATTGAACTTCATGGCTTAATTTTGCTTTTTCCCAGTATTTCCTGCAGGGTTAACTTACAGGATCTGCTCCAGATTTGCTCAGTTGTAGCAGCTTGGCTCAGGCATGAACACTGCAAAATAAACATGGGTCATTGTGTTCTCTGTTCAGCCTCCTGCTCTGTGTGAGGTTTGTTAAGGGTTTGGAGGATCAGTCACAGGACTTTCAGGGCTGCAGTAAGCTTACTGGTTTCTAGGGGAAAGTGGAAACATGTTTTATATGACAGAGAGAGACTTTATGCAGTAATGCTGGAGAACCGTCGTGTTTCAGGTTGGCATGGCAAAAAGCAGAGGTGCAGTAGAGGTTATCAGTATGGTTTTCAAGATGACTGAATCCCATTAACTGTTTTATTTCTATGCAGTAGGGGAGTTCTGGAGGCAGTGCTAAAGTTAATTGTGGAGAAGACTGTAGTTAACATTTTCTTCCAGAAAAAAAATGGTTAGTTGAAGTGAAATATAGTTAATAAAGCCTTCATGTGCACTGTGTGAGTACAGCCGTGAACGCCATATGCTTCTAGAGAGCAGGACAGGGAGAACAGTCTCCAGGCAGTGCCATGGTATTGTAAGTATGCTGACCTATCAAGCTGTGGTGTTCTACCACTGGCCAGGAGGGTATGTGTATTTTTCTGATGCAAGAAAGAGAGTAAACTGTCACATAGACGGGCTTGGAATTGAGGCTAAATATACAGTGTTGAACTTTTCTGTTCTGCGTTGGAATTTTGCTGTTTATATAGTGACAGGGTCACAGGGCTGTCTTGTTAGGCACGGATTTGCTCTGAGGAGCAATCAAAATTTATTGGTGCTTCTGAGCACTGAATTAACTTGCCTTGATTGCTTCCCATAGAGTATTCATCACCTGCTGTAACTTCTTCCAGTGAAAGATGCTAATAACTGCTGCCATCACAGCTTATATTAAGACAAAGCATTCTGTTTTCTTTTCCTAGTACTGCTGCAAATGTGATTGACCAGCCAAAGCTCTACATAGTGGCAAGCAGCTGCCACTTTACTGACCATTCCTAGCTCCTGCCTCCTCTACTGCTCCTAGTGCACTGCATTCTCCTCACTGGTTCTGTGCCACACATTTCAGCTGTTGCTGTTTCCATTCCCTCTGTTTGTCCTGGGACAGAAATGCTGTTCTTTTGCTGGCTGAATCTTACCCTTATGCTCTGGAAGAATGCAGGGAGGGGTGGGGAGTGGTGGAGGGCTGTGTGTTCCAGAGGGGAGAAATACACTCAAAGGGGAACCAAGCACATGGTGGCTAGTGCCTTTAGCACACGGAGAGTAATAATGACCACTGGTGCTGCATGCAGGACCAGTTTCTGTGTTAGCAGCTTCATTCTGATGACTGGAAAAAGGGAAATATAACCCCCATTTTCAAGAAGGGGAAAATGAATGACCCGGGGAATTACAGAGCAGTCAGTCTCACCTCTGTGCCTGGCAAAATCTTGGAGCAGATTCTCCTGGCAGGCATGCTAAGGCACATGAAAATCAACAAGGTGCTTGGTGATAGCCAGCATGGCTTCACTAAGGGGAAATCCTGCCTGACCAATTTGCTGGCCTTCTATGATGGGGCTACAGAACTGATGGACAGGGGTAGAGCAGTTGATGTCATCTACCTGGACTTGTGCAAAGCATTCGACACTGTCCCACACGACATCCTTGGCTCTAAATTGGAGAGATCAATTTGATGGATGGACCACTCGGTGGATAAAGAACTGGCTGGATGGCCGCACACAAAGAGTTGTGGTCAATGGCTCAATGTTCGGCTGGAGACCAGTAACGAGTGGTGTCCCTCAGGGATCGGTGTTGGGACCGGTCTTGTTCAACATCTTTATCGCTGCCATGGACAGTGGGATTGAGTGTGCCCTCAGCAAGTTTGCCGATGACACCGAGCTGTGTGGTTCGGTTGATACCCTGGAGGGAAGGAATGCCATCCAGAGGGACCTCGACACACTTGTGAGGTGGGCTGATGCCAACCTCATGGAGTTTAACCATGGCAAGTGCAAGGTCCTACACCTGGGTGGGAGCAATCCCAGGCACAGCTACAGGTTGGGCAGAGAAGAGATTGAGAGCAGCCCAAGGAGAAGGACTTGGGGGTGTTGGTTGATGAGAAAATGAACATGAGCCAGCTTCAGTGTGCGCTCGCAGCCCAGAAAGCAACCGTATCCTGGGCTGCATCAAAAGGAGCATGACCAGCAGCTCGAAGGAGGTGATCCTGCCCCTCTGCTCTGCTCTTGTGAGACCTCACCTGGAGCATTGTGTGCAGTTCTGGTGTCCTCAACATAAAAAGGACATGGAACTGTTGGAACAAGTCCAGAGGAGGCCACGAGGATGATCAGGGGACTGGAGCACCTCCTGTATGGAAACAGGCTGAGAAAGTCAGGGCTGTTCAGCCTGGAGAAGAGAAGGCTGCGTGGAGACCTCATGGTAGCCTTCCAGTATCTGAAGGGGGCTATGGGGATGCTGGGGAGGGTCTCTTCATTAGGGACTGTAGTGATAGGACAAGGGGTAACAGGTTAAAACTTAGGGGAAGTTTAGATTGGATGTAAGGAGGGAATTCTTTCCTGTAAGGGTGCTGAGGCACTGGAATGGGTTGCCCAGGGAAGCTGTGAATGCTCCATCCCTGGCAGTGTTCAAGGCCAGGCTGGACAGAGCCTTGGGTGAGATGGTTTAGTGTGAGGCGTACCTGCCCATGGCAGGGGGGTTGGAACTGGATGATCTTAAGGTCCTTTCCAACCCTAACTATTCTCTGATTCTGTAGTACTGTTATAGTGACACACAAGCCCATTGAAGGGTTTGCTTTATGTGTTGCATGTTTTTTTTTGTCTTAAGGCAGTCTTACCAGGGCAATCTTTAGGATACAAATGATCCACAGTGTGTTTTCCTCTTTGCCTTGCCTAGAGCTTCATGTGGTGAGCAATAAACAGGGTGTTCTGGTGGCAGGAGCTGCTACTCAGTTTTGTTATATCTCATAAGCACAAACATTAACCCTATTTGATGCCACTCCAAAGCCGTAGAGGAAGAATGGTCATATTTCCAGACTGTGGTAAGAAACTGTCTCAGTTCATAGAATCATAGAATAGTTAGGGTTGGACAAATATGAGGAGTATTTTTAGGTTATCACTTCCCATGTGCTAAATGGTGTCAGTGGGAGGACTGTAAGCAAGTGCCAGTGTCAGATTCTGAAGCCTTGGTATCTCCTTGTGTGAGTAGTTCTATGTGGAAAATAGATGCTGGAATAATTATTTTGTGTGCCTGCTGTTTATGGTGTCATGGTTGCAGTTACCTGGAATGATTAGGAATGCAGTATACCTGAGCAATTTCGAGACACCAGACTTGGAAAGCCACAAGAAACACTGTGAATTAAGAAACTAAGGTTGTCCTAAATTTTCCTAAGGACAGCCTGGCAGGGGAATAGTCTGAAGAACAGTGGGAATAAAATATGCCTTGAAGCTATGTTTTCAGGCCTCTCACAATCCCTGAGAAGCTGCACTGTTGGACCACTGTTCTGAAGCTACAGCATCAGACTGGAGACTGGAGGCAGCCTGTGTATCCAGTGTGTGTGTGTGCACACTTTGTATACAGTGAAATTGCCTTCTCTTCCTTTTCCTCCCCCCACGTTTATAAAATTGTGGCAGCAGTTACATTTGCTACTGCTGGATGGGTGAGCAAAGAAAACTCTTGGTGCATCAGATGTTCTCATTTTCACTTACTTGAATTTGCCAGGTCTGTCTGTGTTTTGGAGATGTAGTGCTTAAAATTACAGCCTTTTACCAGTGTGTCCTGGGTTCAGCAGTAGCACTCATTTTTCCCCTTCTTGGTAGCTGGTGCAGTGCAGTGTTTTGACTTTCAGCTTGGGAACAGAGCTGATAGTGATGTTTAGGTTTGGCCAAGGACTTTGTGAGCCTCATGCTCTGCCAGGGAGGAGGGGAGGCCAGGAGGAAGCAGAGACAGGACACCTGACCCAAACTGACCAAAGAGGTATTCCATACCACAGCACGTCATGCCCAGGAGGTAACTGGGAGTGAGCCG